CCRATTTAAATAATATGTCCGCAGATTATAAGGTTGCCKTTTAGCAAAATATGTATCAAATACGGAGAAGATACCTAATAAAATAAACTAGTTTCCCGCACAAGGACTCGATTTTTAACGATCAGTTTGTATGACACCTATATGCTATATGGCTAAATATGAACATTTTGTTCGAAGATAATTACGCTGTCTTTAATCCATAATCCTGAGGATATCTCATCAAATAAAAAAGTTTTTCATACAAGAACATGAATTTCATTGCACAGTTTGTATCGCACCGATATGCTATAGCAGCCCCATCTGAATAATTTGCATGGAGTTTATAGCGCTGCTTTGGAAAATAATCCATGTCAAATATCGTGAAGATACCTCGTCAAATAAAAAGTTTTCCATACAATCAATTGATTCTGATCTTTCAGTTTGTATGGCAGCTATYGACGTGTTCGACAAATAAGYAGCTGCTTGCGGAGAAAAAGACTCTTGTGAAATTTCAAATCAATATTTTAAGTATTACAAGACTAGTTCTCGTACATACATACAGACAGACATCACTAATATACTTTGTGCAGGGTATAAAAAAAGTTTGAACATCAAATCTGAAACAAAATAACCGAACAAAACATGAAAATGAAATTCTTGCTTATAAACCAGATTTTACGTAGCAAATTACGCATGCGCAACCGCAGACTGCGGCAAGCKCACCACTTAATTGGACGCGGCCGGCTGCTAGTAGGCGAACAAGCGCATCCACTCAACACACGCACACATATACACAATTTCATGCATTGATAAATCTGTATATATATATATTTCATATACATACWTATCAGTATAATGCGCGGACAGTAAACTGGCGGAAATTAGTGCGCGCTTCGCGTTGCGTTGCTTTCRCCACAAAGTTGCGGTTAACGTTGATTAGGTTAACTACTTTCATACGTTCGGCACTGTCCTGTCGCCGCACTATAGTGTTGTTGCTCTTGTCGCTGTTAATTTCATCACAATACTATCACTGCTTTTGTTCGACACTGTTGGCTTTTATCATTGTTGCTGTTGTACGCATTGGCATAAAATTTATCGTCTTTCGCAATGGATTCTAGTGGTCGCCAGTTAGCGGCATGAGCATATAAGTTGGTTTTAATGCGCTGCGCAACGCTGCGCCCCATATAACTCTACTTCACCGAATTGTGGTTTTTGGTTAAACAAAAACAAAAAAAAAAAAAWWTATATAATCTTGTTTATTAAGTTCGTAACAGTAGTTATTATAGTTGTACATGCCTAGTTGCTGCTGAATTTTTTCACTTTCGTGTTGCTTTTATTGTTGTATATGTTGTTGGTTGTTGTGGTGGCTGCTTTCATTTGTTGTGGCCGGCGTTTATAACAAGATTGTTTACCATTTCAATGAAGTTAATTAGAGAAGCGCTGGTTTATCTGCGGTACGTGCGTGTCATGTGTTCATATGGGGCTTATGTTTGGGTGCTCCGAGTTAGTGGCATGTGTGTTTTGAGGGATATTACTTGTTTTAATTTTTGGCGTACACTTGTTTYCGCTAATTTCTCTTTGATTGCTGCTAAGGCTTTTTATAATTTCATTCAAGTTAATCGAATTATATGTTCTTTAAGTGATGCTTAGTAACAGCTAATGGAAATGAAATAAAATGGACGTTGAACTCAGTTTGCTGGTGACCAAAGCTTTTATGAGATAACTAGATTTGCGAATTTTTAATTAAATTTTCATTAAACAAAAATGTAATTAAGATTTGAAAATTAATTTTTTTTATGCAAAAATCGGAAACTTAATTTTT